GCAGCTGACTGCGACCGCTGCTGCGGCACCGGCCGCTTGTTCGCATAAAAAAAAGAGAAGTTTGACTGAATGCAGAAATGCACTAAATGCAGTTTGCTTACTAAACTTTGAATCGAACAAAAAACAAGCTAAGCGTTTCCTAGTATTTGAGTATTTGGGCGCTTGTTTTAACGAGACATTGAAAAGTTGTGACACATTTTTGATTTCTCCCCTAGATACCAACCACTCTTTGACAGTTTTCTCTTGGTTCTTCTCTCGCACTCGCTGACGTAACTCAGATCTAGCCGGCGTTCCGCAGGGGTTATGCTTTCGCGCAGATACATATGCAATGAACGAGAGTGATGTAAGGGTAGGAATTTGATAAGACTTGAGACCACACGTGATGCGAAGGAAAAATGTTTTTGTCAACTAGCTTGCTTTCAATCATTTTGCCCATGCGATATATCTCGCTTGGCCATGCCGCATCGACCTGACGTACATCCAGTACTTGGGCCACGCTTTCTTCTAAATGTTGTCTTTTACCCATAAGAAACTGTTCGGGCGGAGCTTTAGGTAGTCCTGCAAGGACTAACTCCTCTCCCCTTTTTCCGTCTCTATACTTAGGGATTTACCTTTTCAGCGTCAAAACATCTGCTTTATGAATCATCATTACGCTCCAATATGGAATCGATGATCTCATTCACAGAGTCATCGTAGTTCGTGTCACCGACGACATTGCCTTCAGCAACGTGACACTTTGGTACTAGTTTTTTCGAAGACTTCTTTACCCCTAGAGATTGAGACGTAGCCGCCCGAGAGCATGACCTAGTGCGGGCTGGCAATGTCAATCGATGACCCAGGAAGATTTCCGAGATCAATGATAACTAATTCCGAACAGAAAAAATGTCCAAAACAGTCTCAAGAACTGAGGGTTGTCAGGAATTTACGATAAAAATTAATAGAAGAGAAAATAGATAGGACCGAAGAAGTAGGAAGAAAAATCTGACCTATGGATCGGGCGAGATTCGAGATGGGATAGAACAGAAAGCGGGAGAAAAAGCACGCTCGCTTTGGGTACCACGTGCAAGACTGCATATCAGTGTGAACACAGTCAAAGGAGCGAGTCTGTTTGCTCTCCTGTCAGAACAATATGCCTTCTGCGAATGTCAAAAGTGTCGATAGGGCGGCGGTCAGAGAAAAATGGTGTTCTATTTTTCAAGATCGCTTTTGAAAGGCTTGATTTTGTCTACACTTTAATCCTAAACTTCATGGTTTCGTTTGTTAATGCGCGGCCTACCGTGCGATGGTTTTGGTCCCGTTTTTATCAGCTATTTCTAAAAATTTTTACCACGTTAGTTGCAAAGCACCTTTAGGCTGATGGTCGTGTGAGGATCAATGTAGGTGGAAAAATTTTTGAAGCGCATATCTCCGATCTTAGAAGATCTCACAGTGCTGTGAGTGTCGTTGACAATTACTGTGCTTGCTTATCTAATTAGTTACAAAAGGTGCTATCTCACATAATTGATGATTCGAAAAATCAGAGGGAGCTATTTTTAGACAGAAATCCAGCTCTTTTTGAGAAAGTAAGATTACACATAATATCAAAAATTGAAGCAAAACCTTCATTCAGATATTAGATTACCTAAGAGACGATAAGAATTTTATTCCTCCTACGGACGATGATGTTCGGGAACTGCTTGCTAAAGAGGCCGAGGTAAGTTTGCTGAGATAGTATCTTATTATCTGCAGGTTTTAAGTACTATGACGTGAATGGCCTCCTCAAGATGTGCTCATCTGATTTTAAAGAGGGAGATAAGGTGCAGTGGACGGAGAGTGTTATCGAATCATACTCGGATTTTTTGATGAAGTACTGGTAGGTGTCGTTGCTATGCTACGAAATGAGAAACACAACAATTTCGCAACATTCTCAAGGCTCCCAAAGCACGCTGATCCCTCTCCTTATCCTACTCGTGGCCAGCGGGACTTAAACAAATGCGAAAAATGCCATTATGACTTTGTACAACGTTATACGGGCGGCGAACTTCAAAGTAATGAACTCGATCTCAGAGATTACGTAAGATTGTTGCACCTAGAACATCTATTAGTGGAGAAAGGAGAAATTGTTTCTGTAAGTTTTAGGATAGTCATCCGTTGAATGCATTTTGCTACTTCTCAAGCTTTTACAGGCCGGTGAAACATTCTGCAAAGTGAAATGGCCCGACAAAAGCACCAATGTTCCGAAAGCTGTATTGCGACATGCACACTAATAGTGCACTTTAAACAATAAATGACCTTCTGCTTTTGAGTTTATAACACATCACCTTAGGGCCAAGACATCCCTCACGCTTTAGGCCCGTATGCACGTACATTCCCCGCTGGAGAGGGAATGGGATGTGAGAGGGGATGCGACTTATCTCGCTACACTGAGTATCTTTCTTCTTTCTTTTCTATCTTGCTTATAAAGGC